ACCATAAACCACCTCAAGTGGTCAACACTACTACTTCCGTTGTGACGCCGCGACCAGACAAGTAATTAATCATTGTTTTAAAATGGCTTACTTGGTGCCTACTATGCCGTCCAGAGAACAAATCAGAGCTGTTAATTAAAAGCAAAATTCAACGTATAAACTGGCGGAGAATTTTTATTGATCCTGAGGATATTTCCCAACATATTAAATTTGTGTTTGTCAACAAGATTGGTCAAAGGTTCAGTATTTGTTACTCTGAAAGCTTCGTTACAAATAGTATTATGGTCATTAAAATTTAACATTTTGCACAACTGATTTCGATGACAATCATTGAGGTTTTTTACAAGGATTTTCCTTGCTGCTGCCAAGCTATTACCACCGTATATGATCGTTGATGCAACGTGTACATTGTATACTTCCATCTTTCTATTAATACATATTTATTATATTAAGACAAAACTACTCTCTAAAATTATCAAAAGCAACATTTCCAAAAAAGAGAGCGGTAGAGCAGATAGGCAGGCAGTCAGTGTTTCAAATCTGTCTCATATTTGGTTAGGTTTTTGTAACTTGTTCAATGATTTTCTACTTTTAACGCCCAACAACAAGTTGCTTTAATCTCAAAGAATATTGCCTCAGGAAAAAAGGACAAAACTCAAAAGAATTTGCAAGAAGTTTGGGTTAAAAATCCAGAGGGGCGGAAATGTAGCGAGACACCAAGCCAAACTAATTTGTATAGGAATGTAAGTGTCTTGGAAGATGAACAACAACCGGCATACCCAGCGGTGAACTTGGACAACTTAGACATGGGTGGCGGCTTTGCGACTAAAGGTAATGAAGCTTGGTCATCTACCCTTATGAAAGAAATTACATCAGCAAAGTAAATAAATGATATAAAACTTGTCATGTGTAATACTGTCAAAAATATTTTAGCCATAGAAACAGAAAATGTTGTCTTGGAAAGAGAGATAAGTTTTTAAAAAGGAGATTGAATCATTCAAGACCAATCTTAAAGAAAATGTCGACTTTATCGACGCACAAATCTGACGCTTCAAATAAACCATCTGATAACTTATTAACATCTAAAATAAAAGAACAAAACTAGATGGTATGGAAGGCCGATGGAGACGAAATAACCTCCGATTTACAGAATTTCCAGAAGGCTGTGAAAATAGCTACATTAGTATAGAAACATTTTTCAACACCTCCATTAAAAAAATTCTCAGAATTACTTTAAATAAAGACGTTGTTCAACGTGCGCATAGGGTAGGACCAACCACCCGGCAAGGCCAAAATCGAGCAATTGTCGCGTACTTTCTTATGTACACTGTTTAAAGAACATGTCCGAAAAACAGCTCCCAAAAAAGGCAAAAAAAAAAACATGGCACGAAATATATATGTGAACAATGATTTTACCAGCACTGTATTAGCAAAATGTAAATATCTAGCTGTAGCTTTGAAAGAAAATCGCAATTTAAGGCTATGGGCCTGGATAACCATGATAAACTGAAGTTTATTGACGAGGAATGG